TTTGTGAATTAAATATATCAAGACTTTTTATAAAACAAAGATTGTAAATTAGCAAAATAAGTGAAATACAGACTTTAAACTAATCTTTACTCATTTTGTTTTGACATCAGTATCGGTGAGTTCTTGTAAATCTGCTTCGACTACTGCTGTTACTACTGCTGCTGCTGCTGTTACTACTGCTGCTGCTGCTGTTACTACTGCTGCTGCTGCTGCTGCTGCTGCTGCTGCTGCTACTGCTGCTGTTACTACTGCTGCTGCTGCTGCTGCTGCTGCTGCTGCTGCTGCTGCTGCTACTACTGTTACTGCTGCTGCTGCTGCTGCTGCTGCTGCTGTTACTGCTGCTGCTGTTACTGCTGCTGCTGTTACTGCTGCTGCTGCTGCTGCTGCTGCTGCTGCTGCTGCTGCTGCTGCTGTTACTGCTGCTGCTGCTGCTGCTGCTGCTGCTGCTGCTGCTGCTGCTGCTGTTACTACTGCTGCTGCTGCTGTTACTACTGCTGCTGCTGCTGCTGCTGCTGCTGCTGCTGCTGCTGCTGCTGCTGCTGCTGCTGCTTCTGCTACTGCTGCTGCTGCTGCTGCTGCTGCTTCTGCTACTGCTGCTGCTGCTGCTGCTGCTGCTTCTGCTACTGCTGCTGCTGCTGCTACTGCTGCTACTGCTGCTACTTCTACTACATGTATTTTAAATGTAACATAGAACAACTCTTGTTCTCCATTCACTTTTGCCTCCATTGTGACGTCTGCTCCTGTCTGTGTTTAATTCACTGCTTTGAACTTTGATCCATAAATTAGCATTATTATACATGTAGCATAAAAAGTAAGACTGTGGTTTGTGATTTCTCTGCAAAGAACATGTTTTTATATCTGCAGTAAGAGTCACACTTCCACTTTCATGTCTCATCTTGGATAATGCAAATACTCATTGTCAACGTGTCCGAGTCCCACATCCTGGGATAATAACAACACATCACAACACTCTGCAGTGGATCATAAGGACTTGAACTCACAACCTTCAGACAAGGGTCCAGGAGTAAACCAGCCTCTGTCCACTCCTCCAACAGAAATGACAAGATTCTGTCACCGAGATGATCTTTTCTTTCTCATATTGTCCAACAACAACGGGAAAGTCTCTAAAAGAACACCCCTGTATAAACAGTTACAGTTTGGTTCAGTGGTTTAAACGCAGGACATGAACAGTCTGTTGAGGAACATGACGGTGTGAGTTCTAATCCTGTATCTGACATTGTATCTGAGTGTGCAAACATTTAGTCCTCTCCTCAAACATGAGTTGGATGTTGAGCTTGGACCGTCCAAACTCGGCTATAAAACAAATATAACGTGAAGAGCGGGTGTGAGAGAGGACTCAGAGACCTACAGTCCTGGGTTCAAGTCCCATTCTGTGCATGTGCTAATATCAAAACGCAGCTCTAACAAAACCATAACATGCAGAGTGTGTGAGCTGCAGTGGTGCAGTGAGTAAGTGAGGGGCTGTGAGACATGAGGTCCTGAGTTCAAGTCCAGTCCTCCTCATTTATATTCTTCCTTCATCAGTGAGTGTCTGTGACCACCACATCTGAACAGTTCTCTGAGCACACATCAGTCGATGGCTCAGTTGGTAGAGTTCCACTGATACTGAGTGTCAGAGTTGGATTCTGTGATCACCTCCTGGGTCTAAGAGGTTCAACACTGACGCTACATGATGGGGAGGTCACCTCCTCCCTCCAACAGGACTGCAGCTGTGGGAGACTAGGACCAGGACTAGGACCAGGACTAGGACCAGGACCAGGACCAGGGTCTGGGAGGTTAGGATCATGTGCAGTGAAGAACCATCTGAAGCCTCCTGAGCTTGAGTCACATGTTTAGGGATAATAAACTCTACCAACTGTGAAGTACATGATCAATAATAACACATCTCTAACTCATAATGTTTATTAAGGAATGATACATTAAAACCAACATATGAATTACTAATACAGGGTTCAGGGACAAAAAAATCAGTAATTAACTGACCACAACTCATTGTAACTGTAAAGTCACAATGTATTCAGTAAAGTATAATAAATGAAAACTAACATGTGTCACTGGACAAATACAGCACGTTACTAAAGTATCACTGTTTACAGAGTTTCACACTTACATGTAATAGAGTGAAGTAATTACTTTATACTGTAGCACTCTAATCATCTACTGTACATGAATAAATTAGTAGAGTTTATTATTTCTTACTGATCATTATGAGTTAGAGTTGTGTTATTATTGATCATGTACTTCACAGTTGGTAGAGTTTATTATCCCTAAACATGTGACTCAAGCTCAGGAGGCTTCAGATGGTTCTTCACTGCACATGATCCTAACCTCCCAGACCCAGACCCTGGTCCTGGTCCTGGTCCTAGTCCTGGTCCTAGTCCTGGTCCTAGTCTCCCACAGCTGCAGTCCTGTTGGAGGGAGGAGGTGACCTCCCCATCATGTAGCGTCAGTGTTGAACCTCTTAGACCCAGGAGGTGATCACACAATCCAACTCTGACACTCAGTATCAGTGGAACTCTACCAACTGAGCCATCGACTGATGTGTGCTCAGAGAACTGTTCAGATGTGATCGTTAGGATTTCATCTTCCTCTTTGGTGCAACAAGAATGAGGAGAAAGGGACTCGAACCCAGGACTGCAGGAGTCACAGCCCTCTCTCTTACCCACTGCACCACAGCAGCTCACACAGAGTAACGTGTTTTCTTAGAGTCTTTGTTGTTGTTTTTGGACGAGATGAATCAGAAAAGATCATCTCAGAGAAAGAAAGAGGAGGTCAGTGTTGGGGGAGACGAGAGAGCACAGGGCTGGTTACTCCTGTTCTCTTGTCTGAAGGTTGTGGGTTCAAGTCCACATCTAACACCCAAGACTTTGCAGAGGTGTGTGATCTTTAAGATGTGCTTAGCATACTTTGTCCGAATTGAAAGTTTATATTTTTCTAAACAGGGGAATTTCAGATGTTTTTGCAAAGAACCAAAACCCTCAAGGAAAAATATATGAACTATGACCTGAGGATCACAACATGACAAGTTATTCACAAGTGTAAACCGTTCTCTTTAGTATTGTTGTTTTTTTAGTGACTGAATTATGAATATTAGGTGTAGGTGTTTCAGTCAACACGGTCCCCCGTAGACAGACAATGTGGAACTGCTGTATACAGTTCCACGTCTGTCTCCATCTAGTGGCCACAACGTGACAGTGCATTGACTCAATACAAATAAATCCTAATTTAAGATTAATATAAAGAACATTCTGCTTTTAACAGGTAGATCTTGTTTAAAGGCAGAACGTGCTCAACTTGATTCAAATGTGTGCAGCTTGTGACTTATTTTTCATAACTTTCTGCAGTGTAGGGATCCAAAACCCAGGACCTTCTTGCTGAGAGTCGAGCAAAAACCAGCAGGAGACAAAACCACACAAACACAACTAGATTTATGGATTTATTTTGGCAAGACACCATCTTCACTTCCAGTTACATAAACGCCACAACAGTTTCCAGAGGTTATCTACGATTCTCTCGGACAAAAATAGTTTCGGATGCTGTTTCGTATCGTTATTTACACAGGCAATTGTTCTACTTTTTCATTACACTGCTAAAAACGGCCCCAGATAATAACTCCTGCTGCACTTTCTAAAAAACACTACAGATTTTGGCATTGATCACGGTTCAAAAAGCAACAGAACAAAAAGAGAAAGACACTCGTTTTCAACAAAAAAGTGCAAAACGCAAAAAAAACGATCATTTTTGGGACGATTAAGAATTCCAGTTGGATCGGCTGTTTTTGGAGGTTTAAAAAAAGGAAGAGAAAAACCAATCTACCAAAACCACAGATTTCCCGAACCCTTCTGAACGTTAAGCTCAGAGTGCGACCGTCTTCAGGAACCGGTTCTTACGGGTTTTGGATCACGCCACTCGGACCCTGTCCCGGGTCTACAGCCTCAGTCCCGGGTCTACAGCCTCAGTCCCGGGTCTACAGCCTCAGTCCTCGATCTACAGCCTCAGTCCTGGTCTACAGCCTCAGTCCTGGGTCTACAGCCTCAGTCCTGGGTCTACAGCCTCAGTCCTGGGTCTACAGCCTCAGTCCTGGGTCTACAGCCTCAGTCCTGGGTCTATAGCCTCAGTCCTGGGTCTACGGCCTCAGTCCTGGGTCTACAGCCTCAGTCCTGGGTCTACAGCCTCACTCCTGGGTCTACAGCCTCACTCCTGGGTCTACAGCCTCAGTCCCGGGTCTACAGCCTCAGTCCCGGGTCTACAGCCTCAGTCCCGGGTCTACAGCCTCAGTCTCGGGTCTACAGCCTCACTCCTGGGTCTACAGCCTCAGTCCCGGGTCTACAGCCTCACTCCCGGGTCTACAGCCTCACTCCCGGGTCTACAGCCTCAGTCCCGGGTCTACAGCCTCAGTCCTGGGTCTACAGCCTCAGTCCCGGGTCTACAGCCTCAGTCCCAGGTCACGGGGGCAGCAGTCCGAGCAGAAACACCCAGACTTCCTCTAAATCCCGAGGCGTTCTTGAGCCCAGACACACTTCCCTTCGGTCTCTTCCCGGTGGGACACGGCCAGAACCTCAACCGGCTCCTATCGGCACGGAGAAGCAGCGGCTCCACTCCGAGCTCCTCCATCCAGCCACTGCAGACGCCGCTCTCTCTCCTCACCACAACCACAGAGCTTTAACGAAATGGTCGAATCAAAGCGTGCGATTCTGCGGCTGGATTCTAACTGTTTAAGTCATTTCTCGACATTTAAAGTCCATTAAAGTATTTTTGTGACAGGCCTGAGTTTGATCCCGTCCAACCCAAATGCTTTGATATGTAAACTGTCCAATTACTTCAAACTCACAAGTGCAAAAACTACTCGTACGGCTCAAAAAATCCATTGGCTAAAGTCTAAAATGTCCTGGAGATGTTTTTGCTTCATATCGTTGTTATTATGATTATTATTATTATTAATTATCTGCGGTTCCGTCGCACACGGCCGAAGACACACATCAGCAACACGTCAGATCGTTACGGGGAACTTCAAAACACAACCGGGGGTTTTTGGCTCGAGTCAAAGTCGCGTCGTGCCGGGGTTTCATTTCACGTCGGGGCGGGAGGTCAGAGGTCAGGGGGGAATGGAGCAGGAACCTGGAGACAGGAGAGAAACAGTTTTTATGAATATTTCTCGTTTAACCTGTGTTTTTTTTGTACAAACGTTGAGAAAATAAATACAAAAAGCACTTACAAAGATACTACCACTTCTATGGTGTGGTGTAAACACAGTTATAACTACTCTGTTTACTAAACCTGTCCATTTCACTTTCAGATGTGCACATTTCACTTCCTGGTTGCGACTGATGACATCACACTCGGGCGCCAGAGTGAACTCTTCTTACTGTGTCAATAAAGGAAGAAGAGGCGTGTTCTGTGCGAGGTCGCCATGTTCTCGCTCATGTTGCGGACTTTCAGGTAGTTGACGAAGCCTCGGAAGAACAGCAGGCGGAGGGGGAGGAGGGGGGGGGAGGGGGAGGGGGAGGGGGGGAGGGGGGGAGGGAGGAGGGGGGGGAGGAGGAGGGGGGGGAGGAGGGAGGGGGGGAGGGAGGGGGAGGGGGGGGAGGGGAGGGGGGGGGGGAGGGGGAGGAGGGGGGAGGGGGAGGAGGGGAGGAGGGGGAGGAGGGGGGGGAAGGGGGGGGGAGGGGGGGGGGGAGGAGGGGGGGGGGGGGGGGGGGGGGAGGGAGGAGGGGGAGGAGGGAGGGGGGAGGGGGAGGGAGAGGAGAGGCAGGTGAGAACAGCCAGTATCACTTTCCCGGACACGCCATTTCTCCAACTACATCATCATCATCATCATCATAATAATTAATAAATGAGCCTGGACCCAAGCCTGGACCCAAGCCTGGACCCAAGCCTGGACCCAAGCCTGGACCCAAACCTGGACCCAAGCCTGGACCCAAGCCTGGACCCAAGCCTGGACCCAAGCCTGGACCCAAGCCTGGACCCAAGCCTGGACCCAAGCCTGGACCCAAACCTGGACCCAAACCTGGACCCAAACCTGGACCCGAGCCTGGACCCAAGCCTGGACCCGAGCCTGGACCCGAGCCTGGACCCGAGCTGGACCAAGCCTGGACCCAAGCCTGGACCCAAGCCTGGACCCAAACCTGGACCCAAACCTGGACCCTGGAGAGCCTGGACCCAAGCCTGGACCCGAGCCTGGACCCAGCCTGGACCCAAGCCTGGACCCAAGCCTGGACCCAAGCCTGGACCCAAGCCTGGACCCAAGCCTGGACCCAAGCCTGGACCCAAACCTGGACCCAAACCTGGACCCAAGCCTGGACCCAAGCCTGGACCCAAGCCTGGACCCAGCCTGGACCCAAGCCTGGACCCAAGCCTGGACCCAAGCCTGGACCCAAACCTGGACCCAAGCCTGGACCCAAGCCTGGACCCAAGCCTGGACCCAAGCCTGGACCCAAGCCTGGACCCAAGCCTGGACCCAAACCTGGACCCAAACCTGGACCCGAGCCTGGACCCAGCCTGGACCCAAGCCTGGACCCAGCCTGGACCCAAACCTGGACCCAAACCTGGACCCAAACCTGGACCCAAGCCTGGACCCAAGCCTGGACCCAAACCTGGACCCAAACCTGGACCCAAGCCTGGACCCAAGCCTGGACCCAAACCTGGACCCAAGCCTGGACCCAAGCCTGGACCCAAGCCTGGACCCAAGCCTGGACCCAAACCTGGACCCAAACCTGGACCCGAGCCTGGACCCGAGCCTGGACCCAAGCCTGGACCCAAGCCTGGACCCAAGCCTGGACCCAAGCCTGGACCCAAGCCTGGACCCAAGCCTGGACCCAAACCTGGACCCAAACCTGGACCCAAGCCTGGACCCGAGCCTGGACCCGAGCCTGGACCCGAGCCTGGACCCGAGCCTGGACCCAAGCCTGGACCCAAGCCTGGACCCAAGCCTGGACCCGAGCCTGGACCCAAACCTGGACCCAAACCTGGACCCGAGCCTGGACCCGAGCCTGGACCCAAGCCTGGACCCAAGCCTGGACCCAAGCCTGGACCCAAACCTGGACCCAAACCTGGACCCAAGCCTGGACCCGAGCCTGGACCCGAGCCTGGACCCGAGCCTGGACCCGAGCCTGGACCCGAGCCTGGACCCGAGCCTGGACCCGAGCCTGGACCCGAGCCTGGACCCGAGCCTGGACCCAAGCCTGGACCCAAGCCTGGACCCAAGCCTGGACCCGAGCCTGGACCCAAACCTGGACCCAAACCAGGACCCAAGCCTGGACCCAAGCCTGGACCCAAGCCTGGACCCAAACCTGGACCCAAGCCTGGACCCAAGCCTGGACCCAAACCTGGACCCAAACCTGGACCCATTTTACGGTGGATTAAGTCTCGTCTTTGCCAGTGTTAAGAGCCAGAGCATAAACATGAGTAGTTTCTCATTAGTTTTCTCTTTTATGTTTATATTTACACAGATAATGCACACAGGGTTTTTCCATTTGGTTTTTACTGGTTTTACTTTGGATTTGTTTTAATTAGTATTAATGTGTGTTTATGCAGCGGACTCACCGAGCAGCAGGAATATCCACCAGAGCCAGTACTGTCCGTTGAAGTATCCGTAGAAGTAATCTGAGAACTACACACACACACACATCATCATCATCAGTCGTTTGCATGTTCTCCCCGTGCCTCCCTCTCCCCGCAGGACCCAGCACGCACCCGGACGATGAGGATCCATTTGATGAGGGAGAGTCCGAAGCCGCAGATGGCTCCGTAGCGTCCGGCGATGGTGTTGGTCAGACAGAAGGACAGACAGAAGCCGATCCAGTTGAAGAGGAAGGCCACTGTCAGTATTTAAGTCATGTTAGTCATGTTTATTTATATAACGCATTTCACACAGCCAAAACTTCAAACTATCTTAATCTTATATTAGTCCTGGGTCTAAAGCCTCAGTCCTGGGTCTACAGCCTCAGTCCCGGGTCTACAGCCTCAGTCCCGGGTCTACAGCCTCAGTCCCGGGTCTACAGCCTCAGTCCCGGGTCTACAGCCTCAGTCCTGGGTCTACAGCCTCAGTCCTGGGTCTACAGCCTCACTCCTGGGTCTACAGCCTCAGTCCTGGGTCTACAGCCTCAGTCCTGGGTCTACAGCCTCACTCCTGGGTCTACAGCCTCAGTCCCGGGTCTACCGCCTCAGTCCTGGGTCTACAGCCTCACTCCTGGGTCTACAGCCTCAGTCCCGGGTCTACAGCCTCACTCCTGGATCTACAGCCTCAGTCCTGGGTCTACAGCCTCAGTCCTGGGTCTACAGCCTCAGTCCTGGGTCTACCGCCTCAGTCCTGGGTCTACCGCCTCAGTCCCGGGTCTACAGCCTCAGTCCCGGGTCTACCGCCTCAGTCCCGGGTCTACCGCCTCAGTCCCGGGTCTACAGCCTCAGTCCCGGGTCTACAGCCTCACTCCTGGGTCTACAGCCTCAGTCCTGGGTCTACCGCCTCAGTCCCGGGTCTACAGCCTCAGTCCCGGGTCTACAGCCTCAGTCCCGGGTCTACCGCCTCAGTCCCGGGTCTACAGCCTCAGTCCCGGGTCTACCGCCTCAGTCCCGGGTCTACAGCCTCAGTCCTGGGTCTACAGCCTCACTCCTGGGTCTACAGCCTCAGTCCCGGCTCCTAAACCCTTCTCCAGTTGCACGTTAAGAATCAGGAGGTCGTACTGAAGAAGGCCAGCATGAAGATCCCGTCGTTGCCCACGCGGAGCTGGTCGGCGTCGCTGAAGTCGTCTCTGGGCGGAAAGTCATCGTCCTAAAAACAAAACAAGACTAAATTACGATCCAGCTTTTTCTCAGACAATGTTCAAATCCATGTTAAAAACTTCTTTTTAGCAGCAACAACGGAGCGATTGTATTTTCATTCTCTTTAATGTAAACAGATTATTGCCTTGTGTGACTGTCACCCTCTTCAGAACTTTAAGCTGCATTCTGTATGAATTGTGCTGTACAAATAAACTTGCCTTGTCCACTGTTCTGTAAACCATCCATAACTTCTTCAGATAATGTAGAACAACAACATTCATATAAGTTTAGCCCCAGTTCAAATCTACGTCTGCTCGACCACGAGGCAGAGAGTGAAGATAATACAACTTATATTTGTTGTAGATGCATTAGTGTGAGGGGGAGGGTGCAGTGCTTGGCTCAGTACCCTGGGAAGCACGTCCACGGCAGAGGCAGCCATGGCGGCGGCTTTGGCCTTCTCCGCCTCGTCGTAGGTGGGCAGCGACGTGGCCACGCTGTAGGGCGGCGGCACCGGGAAGTCGCCGTGGAAACTGGACTCTGCGGCGACAAACGGTACAAAACAAAAGAGGTTTGTTTGTGTACGTTTTACGGAAAGCCCTGTTTACGTCAGCCCTCATTGGCTCCTACTGCACACACTCTGCTCTTACCCCTACCCATAACCTTACCCTTAACCCCTATCCATAACCTTACCCATACCCCTATCCATAACCTTACCCATACCCCTACCCATAGCCTTACCCTTAACCCCTATCCATAACCTTACCCATACCCCTACCCATAACCTTACCCTTACCCCTACCCATAACCTTACCCCCTACCCATACCTTCAGTATCATCTCTGAGATGACTTCTGTTGTGATTTAGGGCTATACAAGAATAAGTTGTAATTGTTGTTTTCTACTATCCAAGATCCCTTCCTCCACATGACAAGAGAAACCGTCGGTCAATCCCCGTCTTAATAGAAAAACAAATTCCCGATTGAAACCGAGCCCCGTGACCCATTAATTAACCATTAAAATGACTGCAGGTACCTGGCTCTGCGGCAGTGGCCCCCAGGTTGATGGTGGCGTAGGGGGGAGGGGGAGCATCAAGCTGTGCACTGGGCCCAGGCTCCTCCCCCACGGCGCCCTCGAAGCCCGGGTTCACGTGCTGCTGCTGCTGAGGGGGGGCCGAGGTGCTGGAGGGGCCTGAGGTGCTGGGCTGGGCCTCGGAGGAGTCGTCCTCATTGTGCAGCTGACGACAGAAGCCAGAGAGAGAAGCGTGAGACTCAGAAGACCGAGGGGAGACGGGGATTACACCGAATCTCTCTCATTATTTTTAAATCATACAGTACATTTTACCTGCAATTTGCCGACAACCTCTCGTCTGTGGGGGTTTGTTAAGTCACTTTAAGTCACTAACAAACCTGCACTGCTATTGCCAGTTTCTTTTATTGCACATAATGATACCCTTAACAGACCACATTTTTAACCTTTAACACTTTGCACAGTTCTGTCTTTTGCCAAATGTGACATGTACATTTCTCCAGTGTGAGATCAATAAAGTCTATCAAAGGGCGGGGAAAGGATCTATCTAGAGTCAAAACTGGTAAATTTACTGACAGTTTGCTCATCATTTTCCATTGAAGGTCAAAGTGGTATATAAATGAATGACTATTTGTTGTGTATTATTTCTGTAATCCCAAGTTGTGTTATTTTGCGTTTGCTGTAGTTCTACGGTGTGAGCTGTCTGTGCATAGTGCATAGTTAGCCTTTGCAACACAACCACACACACACACACACAGACGAGCGACGTCGGATACTGTGCATTTCAAAGACGTCTCAGGAGTGCGTCCCGAGTTAAAACGGCATGTTCCGGTTACGATCATTTAATAAACACAGAGTCAAAGCCGTCCAAGCGCATGTGGTGCACGGATCTGAAATTACATCAGCCCCCAAAGGGATAACGTTCTCACCATCTGAACGCCCTGGATTTCCACTTTGGAATCTAAAACAGCACTGATCCAAACAGTTTCAGTCTTGACTCTTATGTGAAAAAGGAGCAGATGCATTTAGAGCAGAATAGATCTCGAGGTTTATTATTATGTAAGAGACACAACAAGAGCCTGAAGCCTCTCAAAGTCAAATCCACCTGACACACACACACAAAATTGTTTTTCGTTTGATCCTATTGAAGATACTAGAACACTGACCAAACAAGGGCAGGGAATTGTCAACAATGGATGTGATTCTTAACATATTGTGATTCTTTAAAATATACAGTCTATGTGTGATCCAGACAGCATGTGACTCTGTGACATTGTGATTCATGTCCTTCCTATTATTCAAAGACTTCACAAACATGGGAGGGACACGCTGACATTATAGAGTCACAACAAGCCGATAGAGTCTTCTGCTGCTGGACACTTGAATTCTGATAAAGTATCTATCTTTCTATAATATAGAGTCAAAACAATCAGACGGCACAGAGCAACAAACCTCAAAACAGGTGTCATTTTATGTTGAACACCTACAATAATACACTTGAATGAATGTTGTGAAAACAAAGCAAAGCATTTGTTAAACTGCTGCGTCAGCACTGGTGAAAACACATCTCTGAGAGTGAGAATGAAGGCCAAACTACTGTAAGTAAACACACTCTGCCAGAGAAGAACCAGAGACCTGGAGCATGTCACTACTTCACTTTTAACTCATAAAGAAACTTCTAATGGCTAACAACACGTGACAAGTTATCATCAAATACATCAAACTCAGGAGTGAGTGATATTGACGTCACATGTTGCTGAGAGACTAAACCACATCCTACACCACAAGTGGAGCTGCTGGAATGAAAGAGCACAAACTACCACCAAACAGACGCACAACACTATGTTTACTGTGAGGGTGTTTATCAGGTCAAACAATGATTAAATGCGGGTTCAGTTTGGATTTTATGGGATTATTAGTCCACAAAGCCACAGCCACATGCATGGGGCAAAGCCTACTTTATCTAAGACCTGGTGCGAAACTGCTCTTTTCAGCCTTTCACAAAAACAGATAACTTTTAATAAAACTAAATGAATACAAAAATATGTTAGAGTTTAGTTGTGGGGTTTGAAGCGTTGTTTAAGACAGCTACTTTGAAATTTAATATTTACAGTCTATGGTTTGAAAGCAATTCGTAAATATCATTAAAAATTGCCAAGACCAATAACATTTAGCGTTCTTGTATTTTGTAATTTTATTTTATTATGTATTTCTCTGTGATGTATGTGTTCTCGTTCTCCCCTACTGTCTGTGTTTTACTGCATTTTAATATTGTATGACTTTTTAGTGTGTTCGTTAATGCCCAATGTCGCTGTCAAATAATGTAATAAAATAAAAATACGTTTTGTTGTTATATTTGTACAGGTGTTTTTTTTAGTTTTTTTTTGTGAATATATGTCTAAATCTTTGAGTGTGATATGTATGTATTCTCATTGTCACCTGTATGTATGTATATAGGTTTACATATGTTTATTTTTTACTTTTTATCTTAGTTTATTTTATTTTTATTTTATTTTTCCTTTGCTCTTTGTTATCTTATTATTTATTATTATTTTTTTTTATTATTATTATTATAGTATTTTTATTTATTTATATATATATATATATATTTTTTTTTGTATCCCCGATCCCCTCCCCTCCCCCCCCCCATGATAAAACACAATAAATATCTCAGTCATAAAAAAAATATATTTGTACAGGTGTATAAATGTGTGAATAGATGGTGTGTATTTAGAGCAAAAGTCACAGTGATTATATAAAAGGCTACTACATTCATGCTAAACCTGTTAGCTAGCCACGCGTATGCGGAAGTAGCTGCAAACGAACTAAAACAGAGGCTCAGGGAAAGTACAGCACAATCTGTTTTTGTATTAAACTGTTTTAACATCTTTATTTTACCCATAACTGGAGACGGGGAGGAGTGATAAAGACCGATGTGGTTTATATTTGATGAGGAAAAACAGCTCGGACATGCTAATGCTAATGCTAACAGTGTTTTGCTCGCTGCGGACGCTCACCACGTGGTACCGGCTGGCTGGATCCATCCTGAACCGGCCCAAAAAGACCAGCCACAAAACACGAGGACGGTCTAGATGTTTGTGATCCTGTCGGTTTCTCACACGGACGTCACTAAACAGAAGCGTGAGCAGTTTTCGAGGATCCGGATCAAAACAACACGAAACTTATTTCCGGGTTTTTTCAAAGTAAAAGGTCCTGATGAATACATCCAATTATTTTATCATCTATTCGTCTTTCAGATTTCATTGAGTTGCACCGACTCATCTGAACTCATCATTTAGATGTTTGTGTTTAATAATATGTATATTTATTTTCTAATGCATCTAATCACCATGGCAACGATACAGTTTGGCAAAGTAGTAAAAAAAACTGTATTTTTTTTGCCTAGAATGAGTCTGCTGTGTGTGTGAATGGTTGTTGGTGGTGGGAGGGGATGGCTGCCCTGTCAGTGTGCCCCAGGGCAGCTGTGGCTACAACAGTACTTTATCACTACCGTGTATGAGTGAAAGAATAATGAATTGTGAAGAGTCTGAGTTTAGGCGCTGTATAAAAACTATGTATTATTAATATTATTATTGTTTTCAATCAGCCTGCCTGGTGAGATGTTGAATACAATAAATCATATACAGATAATCAGATTAAAGAAATCCATAGCCATAAGTATTGTCATGGGTGCCTTTATGAAACAACGGGAACAGATTACAAATTTAAAAGTGATTTTTCAAAGATACAGAAAAAAAAAACCTGCAGATGTGGCTCTGTCCTTGGAGGGAAAAGTGTTTTGGCTTCATGCAACATTAAGAGCATACATTCTGAATTTAGTATTGAAATTTGGCCACGGTCCTTATTATCTAATGACTATAAAATACCATCAGACAAAACCAAAAGCCCTCGAGCTCTCAGGACGTCACATACAAACAGGAAGTTAAATCTCAAGTTAAGGAGAGGCATTTGAATAGTCGTTTATTTCTGCAAAGATTTCAGATCATTTCCACACAGCGGGTGATGACGTAAGCCGCCTTTAAACCATATTGCGCCATGATGTCATACCAACAACCACCGAAGATGGCGCCAAAGTATCCAATAAACTCTCCTGTAAATCACGTTTTTCTCTGTATGAATTTGGAATAGAGCTGAAGTGTTTAAATGTTATTGCACCGATATAGTTTTAATACAATCAATAAAGAATGAGACAAAAACAAACAGAATGAGTCTGGAAACTATTTAGATTCATAAAGATGAGAAATTAATAATTGTTTTGCAGAAGCATTTACTATAAAAATAAAATACTGCTGTTTTGTGAGAGAGAGAAGTCCTCAGAATATCACATAATAAAACATCTTATATTATTATTTCATGTTTTAAGTTTGAGATGTCTCTATCTGGACCTTGTAATAAAGTTGAAAATAAATGATAATATTAATAATATATTCGAAACTTATTCCACTCTGAGCAGTTTTGTTCCGTTTGAAGAATCTCCTCGTGTCCTTTTTGCTTCTTGTACAACATTAACAATCACGTGTTTTTACCTCGAGGCCATAATCCAAGTGCAGAGTCGGCAAATACATCTCTTTAATGGGCTGCGGTGCCTTAAAAATGCAAAGTTTCAAGGCGAGAGAGAGAAAGAGCCCGAGGAAAGTGTTGGATGGAGGTGTCACTTTGTCTTTCCTCTTCATGGGTTTGTGTACGTTCTGCAATGCACCAAAACAGCTGCGCTAAACCTGACATCACTTCTAAAAGAGGAAAAACAGGTCTATTGGGTTTGGAGCATTCGTTAGTGGCAGTTAAAGTCAAGTCGTGTTTCTTTTAAATACAGGAACTAAGAGACAGAAAGCCAACTGTAAAAACACACAGGGATAGAAAAAGCAAACATATTGATTATGTTTTACTCTTTTTACTTATTTTCATATCTGCGGCACTGTCTCCCACTTACACCTGTGTTTGTCATCAACAGGAGGAGATGTGGTTACCTAGCAACCTCACATCGAAGTAAAGAGGAGGCTATAAAAAGGCCTCAGCGCTGAAGAGTTCTCGACTGGAGAGAAAAAAGTGATTTTTTTTATGCCTTTTTGTTCAGAATGTTTTTTTAAAAGGACCACAGCTGCTCTATATATATCAGTTTTTGGTGTGTCTCCCATCACAGTGCTAACCAGCCCCTGTCCTGCTTAGCTTCAATGGTCTGGCAGGATATGGCTTTCACATGTTTTCTCTGGAAGCGTTACAAATTCCGGGGTGAAACTGTGGTTGTGTCCTTAGGCAAGACACTCCCCCCACATTAGAATGAGTCTGGTGTGTGTGTGAGTGGTTGGTGGTGGTGGGAGGGGCCGATGGCACAGACTGGTTGCCTCGCTTCTGTCAGTGTGCCCCAGGGCAGCTGTGGCTACAGTAGTAATAATGACATGTGAGGCATCTTTGTGTTAGATTATTATTATTATTAGATACTTTATTGATATTACTCAGTCTCCCACCTCAGTCCTCCCCCTTTAGTCTCCCACCTCAGTCCTCCCCCCTTAGTCTCCCACCTCAGTCCTCCCCCCTCATTGTTTTCTGCAGCTCAAAGTTAACTCACAGAGCCCCCCTCGTTCATAGGTGACCGAGTTGCCATGGCGACGCAGAGGTAATGTTCATTGTTGGCTCTTGTCACGGACTCGTAATGAGGCCTCGCTGCTGCTCGGTCTCTCCTCCTGGAAGAGAAGAGGAGAAACCAAAATACATCCAACTTCAGCAGTTTCTGGACAAGACTCAAAAAGTGATGAAAAGTCAAAAGTTGCAAAAAAATTCGGAAAATGTAACTTAATCTGAGAACATTTTGACTGGCCTCCTGCTGGGACTCTGAGGAGCACAGGGACCGGGCCTCCTGCTGATGGGACTCTGAGGAGCACAGGGACCGGGGCCTCCTGCTGATGGGACTCTGAGGAGCACAGGGACCGGGGCCTCCTGCTGGGACTCTGAGGAGCACAGGGACCGGGGCCTCTTCTCTGACTATGTTTAAGTCCAAGTCGGTTTCGCTGCAACAACCAAAAGGATTTCATCTTTACTATTTTTAATTTACTGTGATTATTCATGATATTAGTTTCTCTCTTGTTTTGTTCAGCCTTCTGTATGATCTGTGCTATACAAATAACCTTGCCTCGCCCAAAGTGGCCTCTAGACTTTTAGGCGTGTTGTCTCTTTGTTAATGCACTGTTTAAATCTCTATTGTCTTTGAAACGAGCTAAACGCCGCTTTTAGAGACAACATTTTGTTTCCGCTCATTACGCTGCGTCTCTGTTGTTAATTGTAAGTGACGTGTGCAGAAGTTAAACATGTAATTACAACCTGGGATGTGAAACAACACGTTCTGCGCGCTCTCTAATTATTAATCCCGCTCACACGCCTCTCTTGTCGGCAGAGGTTTGCGTGGGACGCCATTTGGGGAGAACGGGGAGATGCCAGTACCCAGAGTGGCCAGCAGAGGGCGCCAGACCCAAGCGGTTATTCTGTTGGAATCTGTCATTTTGAATCAAACAAATTCTAAGTTTTATATGGTCTGAATTATAGAGCAGAGAGAGAGACCAGAGAGAGACTAGAGGGACTATAGAGAGAGAGAGAGACTAGAGAGAGAGAGAGAGAGATAGAGAGAGTGAAACCAGAGAGAGACTAGAGAGAGAGAGTAACCAGAGAGGGAGACCAGAGAATCCAGAGAATCCAGAGAATCCAGAGAGAGACCAGAGAGAGAGAAACCAGAGAGGGAGACCAGAGAGAGACCAGAGAGAGACCAGAGAGAGAGACCAGAGAGAGACCAGAGAGAGACCAGAAAGAGAGACCAGAGAGAGACCAGAAAGAGAGACCAGAGAGAGACCAGAGAGAGAGACCAGAGAGAGAGACCAGAGAGAGAGACCAGAGAGAGACCAGAGAGAGACCAGAGAGAGACCAGAAAGAGAGACCAGAGAGAGACCAGAGACCACTTCCATTTGACTGTTTTAAAATAGTGGGTTGTGTTTGGCTCAGAATGAGGTTGAAAGTGTCAGACTCAGATTTAAAACTTCTAAAATAAAGAAACTAGACCAGACTCAAATTATTCCATTAGTTTTTGCTGAACGGAGAAAAAGAATCAATGGGAGATTTTTTTTTTTGCGAGTTCTCGGAGCTGAGATAATGAGACGGCGTTCGTTTGACAGATGCAACTGGAGCAAGGTCTGGATCCACCTGTTTTCCTCCTCTTCATCCTCCTCCTCTTCCTCAGAATGTAAAAGACAAAAGATGGCTGCTCATTGTTTGGGAGAAACTGTGGTTAAAACGACTCACAGAGACCAGAGAGAGAGACCAGAGAGAGAGACCAGAGAGAGATCAGAGAGAGAGACCAGAGAGAGACCAGAGAGAGACCAGAGAGAGACCAGAGAGACCAGAGAGAGAGACCAGAGAGAGAGACCAGAGAGAGAGACCAGAGAGAGACCAGAGAGAGACCAGAGAGAGACCAGAGAGAGAGACCAGAGAGACCAGAGAGAGAGACCAGAGAGAGACCAGAGAGAGGCCAGAGAGAGACCAGAGAGACCAGAGAGAGACCAGAGAGAGGCCAGAGAGAGACCATGAGAGAGACCAGAGAGAGACCAGAGAGAGAGACCAGAGAGAGACCAGAGAGAGAGACCAGAGAGAGACCAGAGAGAGGCCAGAGAGAGACCATGAGAGAGACCAGAGAGAGACCAGAGAGACCAGAGAGACCAGAGAGAGACCAGAGAGAGACCAGAGAGAGACACCAGAGAGAGACACCAGAGAGAGACACCAGAGAGAGAGACCAAAAGTGTTGTTGGAGAGATGGAGTTTTTGGGTCGTCCTTTGGCACCGTCTCCAGAGGCTGAGGCTGCGATGGAGAAAAGGAGCATTTTAATTTTTAATGAATTGAGCGAATGCAAACAACTTAAATCTCGGGGGATTCGGGAAAATCAGAGTTTCTCTTGTGCTTCAAGACTGAAATAGGACGAGGTCTAAGGAAATGAAGGAGCAAAACTTTTATTAATATTATTATTGATATCAGACTGTACTCTCT